ACAGCACTGAGCACATCCCACCCCGTGGCCACCCAACCTTGATCTGGGCCTGCAGCTGGCGGACCAGTTTCTGGAACTCGGCGGCCTGGCGGTTGGCGTGGCTCAGCTGGATCTCCATCTCGTTCAGGTCTCCCTCCATCTTCTTCCTCAGCCGGACGGCCTCATTCTTGGCCCGGGCCTCCGCATCCAGCGTGGCCTGCATGGAGTCCATGGCACGCTGGTGGTTGCGCCTGCAGCAGGGATGATGCATCAGTCCCATCCACCCAGGGACACCCACTCAGGGACATAGTTCCAGCTCTGCCCTTCCCACGATGGCCCAGCCTGTCCCATCTCCACACACACCTCAGGTTCTCAAACTCCTCATCCTTCTCCGCCAGCTTCCTGTCCACATCAGCCTTGATCTGGTTCAGCTCCAGCTGGATGCGCAGCGTCTTGCTCTCCTCATGTTCCAGGGCTCCCTAGAGACAGCAGCAGCCATGAGAAGGTGGCTCCCAGGGGGAGATCTCCCCAGTCACCCACCCCAACTTCACCTTGTCCCCCAGACCAGAGCTATGGGGAGCAGGGCAGGTGGAGCCACCCCCGTACCTTGCTGTGGTTGCACAACCCCCATGAGTGGGGTGCCCCAGGGTGCCAGCCCAGCTCAGGACTGTCACCCTGCCAGCACCATGGGGGTTGCTGCTCCAGCAGCACCCAACCAGAACTGCAGGGTGGGCGAGTGGCTCTTGAGGGCAGCATCATGGAAGCATCAGTGGGAAATAAAGACCCACCTCGGCCTCCTCCAGAGCTGCCTGGATATCGCTCTTCTCACTCTCCAGGGCTTTCTTCAGCTTCTCCAGCTCATGGATAGTTTTGCCGCTCAGACTGATCTGGTCAGTCAGATCAGCAATTTCCTCTGGCAGGGATGGAAGGACATTTGGTCAGGAATGAGTTTGTGGGGCCAGACCCAAGCTGGTGACTTCCCCATTCCCTTGCCAAGACTTGGCTGATGTCCCCCCAGTCCCTTGGAGAGTAGCTGATGTTGTGCCTGGGGACATTTCAGGGCCCTACTGCACTCCCCTGCAGTCTGGATGGAGGAGAGGGCATGGGAAAGGCATTAAGGACCCATGGAGACCTGCTTGTCCAACAGCGATGCCCCCAAGCCAGTGTCACACCAACAGCCATGGCATTCTTGGCAGCAAAACATTTGCAAACAAGAGCCAAGTGACAGTGCCTGGCCACCCAGAGTGCCTCCAGCAAGCAGGTGGGACACATGCTGGCTTCCTGGCTGGGCTGCTGCATCCCTCCAAGGAGGAAATGGGCCAGGCTTGGCTGAGCAGCAAGGTCTGAGCCCTGCCTACAAGGGACCCCCATCCCACCACATGGCTGAGGCCAGGGAAGCTGTGAGAGCAGGACCCTGGGCGGGCAGTCAAAGGGGAGAGCTTGAACCAAGTCCTACCCTGCAGGTTCTTGTTCTCCCTCTTGAGGGTCTCCAGGTTGTCCAGGGACTCCTCATAGGCATTCTTGAGCTTGAAGAGCTCTGTGCTCAGACCGCGCGACTCCTTCTGTGATGCCTCCAGCTCTGCCTGGGTCTCCTCATACTTCTGCTTCCACTCAGCCAGGATCCTATCAAAGTTGCGCTGCTTCTTATCCAGGGCAGCACAGGCCGAGTTGGCGCGTTCCAGGTCCACCGAGAGGTCCTCGATCTCTGTCTGCAGACGGTGCTTGGTCTTTTCCAGTGAGGAGCACTTGGCGTGGGCAGCCTCCACTGCCTCCTCCGCCTCCTGCAGCCGGATGGCCAGCTTCTTCCTGCCGATGGCAGCAATGGGTGAGCGCTCCCAGCCCAAGTGTCAGCCCACCCTGCTGCTCTAAGGAGGAGAAGCCACAGCCTGTCCAAACAGCTTCAAGTCCAGGCAGGAGGGTGCAGTTGCACCCTCTGGTCTTGAAAAGCCCCACCCTTGAATGGCAACCTGCCACTTGCAAGGAACAACCTCCTGCCATGAGACTCACTTGGCTTCCTCCAGCTCCTCCGTCCTCTGGATGGCATCCGTCTCATACTTGGTTCTCCACTGAGCCACTTCTGCATTGGCCTTGGACAAGTTCCTCTGGAGCTCACTCTTGGCCTCCACCTCCTCCTCATACTGCTCCCGCAGCAGGTCACAGTCGTGCCGGGAGGCTTGGAGGGCATGGGCCAGGGCATTCTTGCTCTGAGGAAGGGAGAGCTCATGAGAGGAGCAGCTGGCCCCAGGACACTGGCCATGGTGCCAGGACTTGGGGCAGCAGGAGGGAACTTCTGTTTTTCCCAGGCTAAAAGCTACCCTTTGGGGCTCCTGTGTTCAGGGTATGTCCCACCTCCCTAGCCCAAGAATCTGGGCCACAGTGGGACACACATCCCATTCCCTAAGACTGGTGTCACTCAGAGATCAGCCATGCTTCTAGCCTCACCTTGGTCTCTTCTTCCAGCTGTCTCTTGAGTTCCTCAATGTTCTGTGTGAATGAGGTCTTGCCACGGTTCAGCTGGTTGATGAAGGACTCCTTCTCCTCCAACAGCCGACTAAGCTCCCCTGGGTTCAAACAGAGCCAAACCAGCTACTTTGGGGCTGAAAGCTGCAATCTGCATTACCCACACCCCCCAGAGCCTGTGGCCTTCAGTTGCATGGAGACCTCCAGCAGTCCCAACTGTATCCCCACCCAGGCAAGCTGGGGCCCATAGGCAGAGGTGCACGCCAGCAGCTAAAGGAAAAGCAGGCCAGCTAGGAACCCCTCCTGATGCCTGAGATCAAAGTACATCATCCAGCACAACTAACATCACCACAAAGGTCCTCTTCCTTGCCAAGCTATATGGCACCTCTGCCTCCACCTCTGAGTGGAGGCACAACACAGGACTTCTTTACAGTGAGGGTGACAGAACCCTGGGACAGGCTGCCCAGGGAGGGTGTGGAGTCTCCTTCTCTGGAGACGTTCAAAACCCACCTGGACGCCTTCCTGTGTGATCTCATTTAGGTTCCTGCTCTGGCAGGGGGGTTGGACTGGATGATCTTTCGAGGTCCCTTCCAATCCCCAACATTCTGTGATTCTGTGTGACTCTGTGATCCCACTCCCCTCCACTCCAGATGGAGCTCCTGCTATTTTCTTTTGTCCATGGGAGAAGCAGGACATTTGCCCAGCTGAACCATGGCTCCTCCACTCAGATACCTCAGTGCATGACCAGCCCCAGGGCAGCCACGTGTCCCCTGGCTGCCACCCCCAACCTACCATTCTCGGTCTGCAGCCTGCCCCGCTGCGTGCTCACGTCGGTCAGTTGTCGCTGCAGCTCATCCACTTTGGACTTGGCCTCACTCAGCTGGTCCTCATAGGTGCGGCAGAGCTTCTCAGCACTGGCCTGCATGCAGCAAGCAAAGCCTGTGTGAGAGCCAGCTCTGCCTGGAGAGCATCATTATCCCAGGAGACCCTGGGACCTTGCTGTCCTGCTTATCCCGTGTGCACACAAAGCAGAGAGCAGGAGCCTGCCAGAGCTCTCGTGTCTCTGCTCACTGTGGCTCTCTGCAGTCAGCCTCCCAGGAAAGGTCTTCCCAGATCCTCCAGACTTGACAAGCAAGCGCTGCCATAGTGACACAGGGACAAGCTACATCTACTGAAAAAGAGGGACTTTGCCATGACAAAGAGCTACCTAGGAGGACATCCCATGGTCGTGGCCACGCTGAACACACTACTGCAACCAGTTGCATTCATGTTCACAGAAGAGCTGAACAAAACCAGTGCCCACCTTGTTCTTGGTGAGATATTCAATGTTAGATGACAGGTCATCCACCTCCATCTTCATCTCACTCTTCTCCTTCTCCAGCTTCTGCTTGACGCGCTGCAGGTTGTCAATCTGCTCGCTCAGCTCCGCCACACTGTCTGCATGCTTCTTCCTCAGGGCAGCTGCTGTGGACTCATGCTGCAGGGTTGCCTCCTCCAGGTCCCGCCTCAGCTTCAGGAACTCTGCTTCCCGCTTCTTGTTCATCTCCAGCTGTGTGGCCGTCGCCCCACCGGCCTCTTCCAGGCGCTCGCTCAGCTCCTCCAGCTCCCGTGACACTTCTGCCCGCTGCTTCTCCACCTTGGCTCTAGCAGCACGCTCAGCCTCCAGCTCCTCCTCCAGCTCCTCAATGCGGGCCTGGCAGAGACAGAATAAAGCAGTGACCTGGTGAGGCTCCAGCATCTTTGCTCCCCACAATGGAGCAAAGTGTCTCCTCTGATGCTGCGGAGCAACAAGCCACCAGCCTGAAGCAAATATTTGGGCTGTTTTGGGATTCTCTGAGGTAGGCATGCCTGGTGCTCCCTGGTAGTCTGTTTTGGAGAGCTTCTGGTCTCCTCCATACGCC